AGAACGTTGTCGTCTATACCTCGGATCCACGGACGCAGGAATTCCTAGCACTCGGGTGTTTTAACAAGTGTGAATGAAATTCCTACTATATATACCTTTTTCACTTTAAATCGGACACTTTTCAAGCGCTATAAGTACACTTTATAATTTTTTATCGGACATTTTTACTACCATATTAAAGAGCACATTAAATACTATAATGATACTCCGCCACAGCCTTCTGGAGGAGCGCCATCGAGAGATTCGCCGCGCGAAAGTGAGTGGGTACCGGAGTTGAGCGAGATCGTTGATTTCTCCGCCACTGTAGACCACCCTGTTGAGCTCCGCCCGAACTAGGTAATTGAGTGGGTTCAGGTCAGGGGACATATTTCAATATTACATATCTTCATCAAGTACGAAAACGGCCTTTCGTTCCATCGACAAGCTAGGCGGAGTGATTTTCCAAAAACCCTCTTCGATTCCGACTGTGGCTGACCACAACCTTAGCAATGCAAAGGTCTCCCAAGAAAGGTTAGCGGCTAACACATTAGGGAGGAATCCCTTTCCTGCCAGTTACGTCGATGTAACCGCGCCAGGCGCTCCACCTTCATCGGGTCTACAAAGAAAAAATATCGTCTCGCACATTCCAGTACGGCAGTCCACCACGTCAAACTACCGCGCCTCTGGAATGGGGTAAGATGATGATCCTGGACCGAAGCGATGTTGCCGGAGCTGCCAATTTTGAAAGATCTTTGCGAGATCAAGAGTACTGCTCTAACCGTTAGCTATTATGGGATTCCATTAAGAAGTTCTGCCAGCTGCTTGAAGCCACGATGAATTCCAACAGGCGTTTCCCACTCAGGCCGCAGACTGGAGATACTGTCATATTTTTGGTGTACATGAAGGTGAATGGCGGCAGCCGGCTCCTGCTTATAGAGGAAGATCTTGGGTATCTTCCGCCCTGGTACTCATATCCACTTCCTCTGTCTGGGCTGCGAAAACTTCGCTCATATGTGACTCGGCCGGAATGACTTTTTTTTTTGGCCCCCCCCCCTGTATATACCATTTTCACTTTAAATCGGACACTTTTCAAACCAAATCGGACACTTTTCAAACCAAATCGGACACTTTTCAAACCAAATCGGACACTTTTCAAATCAAATCGGACACTTTTCAAACCAAATCGGACACTTTTCAAACCAAATCGGACACACCCCTTACAATTAGGTGGTTGATAACTAGACCACACTAGGTACTGTTGCAAGCTCCGCCCCATTATCCCCGCCCATTTCTCAGCAGACAGGGTTTTCCGAGATGCTTCATGAAATCTGCTCCCTCGGCTTTTTTCGTTTTTGCCCTTTGCACACACACTTCAACTGGAAAAGGTTGATACCTATACAGATCTGACTCCGCCCACTTAACAATGAAGTTACGTAAGTTCTGAATTTTATAACTTTTTTCGACGTAGTTCTTTTCACATCCAATCTTCACAAAACGAATAACCATGCACAGCACACCAGGCCCCGCCCCTCTGACCCCGCCCACTTGTGTTTATCGCGGAATTTTGCTTTTTCTTCCGGATTTTCGCTTTTTTAGGCTTTAGCGATTGGCTCCGCCCACCAATGGAAGCTCCGCCCACTTTGGGGAAGCCCCGCCCACTTTTCGAAAATGATGCAAATCGGCGGGCTAGTGTCCGTACTGGCGCATTACGGCCTCTCCCGGCACATAGAATAAAAAAAAGGGAAAAACCGGAAAAAAAATGGAAACTTTGTTCTGAGCGACGGGAGAGGCCGTAATCCGCCAGTACGGACACTAGCCCGCCGATTTGCATCATTTTCGAAAAGTGGGCGGGGCTTCCCCAAAGTGGGCGGAGCTTCCATTGGTGGGCGGAGCCAATCGCTAAAGCCTAAAAAAGCGAAAATCCGGAAGAAAAACCAAAATTCCGCGATAAACACAAGTGGGCGGGGTCAGAGGGGCGGGGCCTGGTGTGCTGTGCATGGTTATTCGTTTTGTGAAGATTGGATGTGAAAAGAACTACGTCGAAAAAAGTTATAAAAATTCAGAACTTACGTAACTTCATTGTTAAGTGGGCGGAGTCAGATCTGTATAGGTATCAACCTTTTTCAGTTGAAGTGTGTGTGCAAAGGGCAAAAACGAGGAGCAGATTTCATGAAGCATCTCGGAAAACCCTGTCTGCTGAGAAATGGGCGGGGATAATGGGGCGGCTTGCAACAGTACCTAGTGTGGTCTAGTTATCAACCACCTAATTGTAAGGGGTGTGTCCGATTTGATTTGAAAAGTGTCCGATTTGGTTTGAAAAGTGTCCGATTTGGTTTGAAAAGTGTCCGATTTGATTTGAAAAGTGTCCGATTTGGTTTGAAAAGTGTCCGATTTGGTTTGAAAAGTGTCCGATTTGGTTTGAAAAGTGTCCGATTTGGTTTGAAAAGTGTCCGATTTGGTTTGAAAAGTGTCCGATTTGGTTTGAAAAGTGTCCGATTTAAAGTGAAAATGGTATATAATCCGCTAAGTTTGTCTGTTGGTGTGAGTGTGTGTGTATGTTTGTGTGTGTGTTTGACCGGAAATTCATAACTTTCTTCAAAATAGCGATAAAGCGCTCAAACTTATAAGTGATGTAGGGGGTCGGGCAGGAACACTGTTGGTGGGTGGCAGGAAGTGATAACAGTTGATAAGATACCATAAGGGGCCTTATAAAGGCAAAGTAAGCAAATTCATAACGCGCGTCACAGCAAAGCTAGAGCGTTGGCTCCAAGAATGGGGCAGGATGGGAACATTATTGGAGGGTGGCAGGAAGTGATAACAGCTGATAAGATACCATAAGGAGCCTTAAAAAGAGTGAGTTACCTAATTCATAACACCGGCCACAGCAGCGATGGGACGTTGGTTTCAAGAAGATAGGGGGCAGGATGGGAACATTACTGGGTGACAGGAAGTGATAACAGCTGATAAGCTGTTATCACGTCCTGCCACCCACCAACTGATAAACTTCAGCACCGGTGCCCAAGGAACAATGGTTAGAGGCTTCGTGAGTCAAGTATTCTATCCCTTAGCGATATGGTTACGACCGCTAAGCTCTCGAGTTTCGACGAAAATTAAAAGCCCTGGAAGCTGCTCAACGGAAGTACTAGGATGTGAGAAATGTGAGGATATATCACCATGATATCGATGTTATTACCATCGAAAGTCTTTCAACCGCTAAGCTGTCCTATTTCCAACGGATGGTGAGTGTTTCTTAGAAATGTGATAAGCACCAGACATTAGCAAACGCACATTAACCCATTTGCGACCAGGCGCGTTTTTCGAAAACGGCTCGTTCGGACCGGAGCATTTGCGAGCTCTCAGCAAGTGTCCGCCACCAGTGGTGGACACGGTCCCTCGTGACCCCTTACTAAAAATTTTAGCACTGTTCAACTTTCTGCTCCCGAAATCTCCTTTTTTACTGAACCATCGAGTGCAGGGGTTATTCCTCAGGTCACAAAAATGACATTCTTGTCCTGGTGCCATTTGGCGCCAATGTGCGCTAATTTAGTGCTATAGTCTTTCCCTCGAAAACCCGTGTAAGCTTGCATATTGAGGTGATTTGACATATTGAGGTGGCTCAAAACCTGGTGGCAAGGAGGTTTTGAGCCGAGCGGAAGTGGTACTCGTGTTCAAAAGGTCAAACCAACTCAGGAAACGACTGCTAAGCCAAGTCTGTCCACATAGAAAGAAAGTTGGTCGAAGTTGGCTTGGTTCCGGATGTCTGAGGCAGTAAAGGGTTGACAGTGCCTATAGTTTTTCACCGGCGCTGGGATCCACCTGCACTCGCCGCCGTCTTTTTTCGCGGGAGTTGGGGAGGG